CCCCGCACGAATGCGTGAATCTGGATGTATTTTATCAAGAGATGCAGAAAAGCAGTTTAATCTCGATTTCCTGCACATCTCCACGATCTCGTCCAGATTCAGGCATTCGATCCGATCCGCTTTGCTAATGGGACCACGCCCCCCGCGCGCGCGCGCGCGCGCGCGCGCGCGCGCGAGAGAGAGAGAGAGAGAGAGAGAGAGAGAGAGAGAGAGAGAGAGAGAGAGAGAGAGAGAGCCGACGCGTTGCACGGCCTGACGCGTGCAACGCGCACACACACACACACACACACACACACCGCACGAATGCCTGAATTTGGACGTATTTTATCCACAGATGCAGAAAAGCAGTTCAATCTCGATTTCTTGCACATCTCCACGATCTCGTCCAGATTCAGGCATTCGATTGGATCCTCTTTGCTAGTGGGACCATGCCCCGTGAGAGAGAGAGAGAGAGAGTGGTAGACTACGGCAAACAGCCTATGTGGGAGGGCACAGTAGTTCAGAGGATAAGCATATGCAAACTTAGGAATAAAAACACGCAACTTCGAACAAACCCGTAAGCACGAGCTCAACCTTCAAAGAGCATAAAACTATTCCACATCTCACACATGCAAGAACTCTTCACTATTGTCGCCACCATCTCCCAAAAACTTCGACAAAGCAGAAGTCCTTCGACCGGTTTCTCCCGCCTGCGCGGATTCATCATGAAGGTAAGCTCCTCTGAGCGTTTCTGTCGAAAGAGAGGCCCTATGCCTTGCCTCTGATCATTATATGTTCTCGAGCTGCCTCCTCAGCCTCTCTCGTAGTTTCCCTGTAAAATCCTCGGTAGACGTGCCTAAGTCATAAGCAAAATGCTGACCGAATGAATCCAGCCCCTATTGTAGGCAAGAACAGAAAAGAAATACCCAACAACTCCGGATGCTTCCGGACTCAAAACAGACATAATAACCCGGGCTGTCTCCGCAGCCTCTCTGGTAGTTTCCCTGTAAGTTCCTTGGTACACATGCCTATGTCCTAAGTGAAAACCATCCAAATGTACCCGACCCCTATTTCGGGCTAGATACATAGTCTTCAGATGTCTTCAGATCAAAACAGATATAAAGGCGCGTTCGTCCTGATATCTATGTCAGTATCTTTCCCCTACTCACTAGCCGCGTAATGTCGTCCAAAAAAATGCGAGAAAAATAAAATAAAATAATACAATAAAGAAATAAATAATAAAAATAAAATCGTTCCGGAGCGACGAGATCCGTAAAAACCTACCAGGAGAACTTTCAAAAAACAGCAACTAAGGTCCCTGTCGTCAAACCGTTGCGGTCTGTCCTAGGACAGGCCGCAGTGCCGGAAAACTGCCTGCAACCGTCATTCCTGCAGGGCCAGCGGTTCAGCCCTTCGCGGGTAAACGGCGAAGAAAAACACGAAAAAGCAGCCTTAAAACTCCGAGGATTTTGTCCCCCGCAACCTTGGCTAATTTAGACAAGGCACCCAGAGAGAGGGAGAGAGAGAGAGGGAGAGAGAGAGAGGG